TAGGAGCTGCATACCCTTCAATTGACCCAGTACTATTATATACCACAACCAGGGTGATTAAATTTTCATGCACTTATTGGCTCATGACTGGTTAAAATTTGTACCCAATGAAAATATCTGCATTCATTTCGATTTTGCATTTTCCATTGAATTTTGTATAAATATTTAAAGAGACTACTTTCAATGCGAATTACTCTACGAATGTCTTTTTTACCATGCAGTTGCGTTAAATTAGGATAATCTTCATCTACCTACTACTGCTTCATTCCGATATCATTATTTATAGGAGGAGCATCAGCATTACTTGAGAAATGGCACTGGTTCCTTATGCAATCCGTATCCAGTACAGCCAGGTTGCTTGGCGCTGGCACGCTCCGAACTCAGCCTTCCATCGGCTAGTGCTGCAAGCCTTGGGCCTCCTCGGCGTCGACACGCTCGGCGCCAGGACATGCCCTCTTCTTCTATTGCCATGGGCTCGCGCACCTTTTCTACAAACATTTCCTCCACAGCAGCTTCTGCTGAAAGTGCTTATTCACCGGGAGTTCCTGCCAACGCCATGGCTAGTTTGAGTCGCAGAATGAGCCCCGCACGACAGAGTAGCGGAGTCAGTGAACGTGGACAGTTTGGTGATGAGAGCCTTCCACACCAGCAGACGACTGTCTCTCCTTTAATTAGCACCAGTCGATCGGCTTCACGCCAGTCGCTTAATAACCTGCCTGGTGGATTAAGTCTCTCTTGTACGTTTATTCTTTTCTGATCTACTTACCTCAATTACTAAACATTCCTTCTGTATTTGTAATTTGTAATTAGGGTTTCAAGATTACCACTACCATATTTACTGTTAGTCTCAAAATCCTACTTATAAACGAAAAATAAGTAAGGTAGTCGATTGTTATAGCAAATGTAACTGATTCATCGACACTTACATTGAATAATGTTATATGAGAAAAGGCCTGGCCTTTCTTGAAATTTGCATCTGCCCCGTGACCCAACGGCCTTCGTGGCAATGTGGCGTAGTGGTTAGTGTGTCGTAATTACACGCTGCACTGTAATAGTTCGAGTCCCGCTGGGGGTGTTGATAAGACCTAGGCTATCTCGAAACTGCAGTCCACCTTGGATGAGAATACTTTTTTTGGGAAATAAAGGCTATTTGAAATTCGATGGAAGCGTCAGCTCTACTCATATCTTTGCGGGAAAATTCTACTACCAGTACTTCACCTACTTGAACGAAATAGGATAAATACTTCTCATATTCCTGCTGTATGGCATTTACGAAAGGTGGTTCACTCGTCGCAGATGAGAAAGAGTTTACTAAACTGCATTT